CTGGTTAATGGTTTAGGGGAAGATGGGGGATGTACCTCTAAACCGGTTGTTGGAATGTTGATATAGCTCATATGCTTATCGGTTGAAGTGTTGATACAGCTCATATGCTTATCTGTTGAAGTGTTGATATAGCTCATATGCTTATCGGTTGAAGTGTTGATACAGCTCATATGCTTATCTGTTGAAGTGTTGATATAGCTCATATGCTTATCGGTTGAAGTGTTGATACAGCTCATATGCTTATCTGTTGAAGTGTTGATATAGCTCATATGCTTATCGGTTGAAGTGTTGATACAGCTCATATGCTTATCTGTTGAAGTGTTGATATAGCTCATATGCTTATCGGTTGAAGTGTTGATACAGCTCATATGCTTATCTGTTGAAGTGTTGATATAGCTCATATGCTTATCGGTTGAAGTGTTGATACAGCTCATATGCTTATCTGTTGAAGTGTTGATATAGCTCATATGCTTATCGGTTGAAGTGTTGATACAGCTCATATGCTTATCTATTGAAGTGTTGATACAGCTCATATGCTTATCTGTTGGAATGTTGATACAGCTCATATGCTTATCTGTTGGAATGTTGATACAGCTCATATGCTTATCTGTTGGAATGTTGATACAGCTCATATGCTTATCTGTTGGAATGTTGATACAGCTCATATGCTTATCTGTTGGAATGTTGATACAGCTCATATGCTTATCTGTTGGAATGTTGATACAGCTCATATGCTTATCTGTTGGAATGTTGATACAGCTCATATGCTTATCTGTTGGAATGTTGATACAGCTCATATGCTTATCTGTTGGAATGTTGATACAGCTCATATGCTTATCTGTTGGAATGTTGATACAGCTCATATGCTTATCTGTTGGAATGTTGATACAGCTCATATGCTTATCTGTTGGAATGTTGATACAGCTCATATGCTTATCTGTTGGAATGTTGATACAGCTCATATGCTTATCTGTTGGAATGTTGATACAGCTCATATGCTTATCTGTTGGAATGTTGATACAGCTCATATGCTTATCTGTTGGAATGTTGATACAGCTCATATGCTTATCTGTTGGAATGTTGATACAGCTCATATGCTTATCTGTTGGAATGTTGATACAGCTCATATGCTTATCTGTTGGAATGTTGATACAGCTCATATGCTTATCTGTTGGAATGTTGATACAGCTCATATGCTTATCTGTTGGAATGTTGATACAGCTCATATGCTTATCTGTTGGAATGTTGATACAGCTCATATGCTTATCTGTTGGAATGTTGATACAGCTCATATGCTTATCTGTTGGAATGTTGATACAGCTCATATGCTTATCTGTTGGAATGTTGATACAGCTCATATGCTTATCTGTTGGAATGTTGATACAGCTCATATGCTTATCTGTTGGAATGTTGATACAGCTCATATGCTTATCTGTTGGAATGTTGATACAGCTCATATGCTTATCTGTTGGAATGTTGATACAGCTCATATGCTTATCTGTTGTAGTAGTGATATAGCTCATATGCTTATCTATTGAAAAGTTTGTTTGAGTTGATATAGCACTAAAATGTATATCATCATTGTTTGCGAAGTATGGAAGTAGTTTATGTGTTATTGATACAACACCATAATGTGTATCCACCTTGAATTTTGAAAGTGTTCTAGTGATGAACTATAATCCCATCAAATGTTTTGGCTAGAGTACTGAGCCTTGTTTTCAAACTCAAAGTTGGATAAGATATGGAAAGTGAATTGTAACATAGACTCGACTGTCATGGAATTGTAATAAGATGAAAATGGAAGTGTAAGTACTGACCATCTATCAGTTACTAATCGTTTAGGCATTGTTCATAGTTGGTTTAGTATATTTCTACTGGGCTGTGGCTCACCCTATATGGGAACATCATTTTCAGGTACAGGTAGCATGCCACCTCCAAGGACATAGCTTGGGAGGCTAGAGACGGACAAACTTTTGTTGTCTTATTTCCTTTTGGATGTGTTACGTGTAAATTCAAGCCAAGGGCTTATTGTGTAATTGAGTTCGTACCCTCTTTTGTAACCAAGTGTTAACTTGGAAAGCTGTAAGCCCGTAGGGCATTTGCTTTTGTTGTCAAAATGTAATACTTTTGTAATGAAATACTCCGATGAATAGATGAATGTGGACTTTTATGTATCAATGCATGTCTCTATATGGATGGGTTTAATGTTGTTATTTTGAGGGCGTTACAAAGTTGCTATTGATTATCTTTCTACAAGATAATACCTTTGAGAGCATTTCCAATTTCCTTGAGATTTCTGCTCAACCTGTTCACGTTAGCAAAGAACCCTAGCAAATCTTGCCTGTACGGCATCAACAACTGACTCCGATCTCCCTCCTGCGCCACCGTCACTCCTCCTCCTGCCACCATCAGCTTCACTTTTCTGGCGACTTTTACTTCTGTTGCTCTCTCCGAGGCCTTCTTATTGTTCTTCTTCTTCAAATCGGCATTCGAAGAAGCGAGAAAGATGAAGGTGTCCTTGTTGTCGCTGTTGCTCCGATAGAGAAGATCGCGAAACTTCCACCGCTTTGATGATCTCGTCGAGTTGCTCTTCTTACATCTCTCTAGCAACACCGCCACCGCAGACGTATCAGATTTCGGTTTCCAGATGCAGTAGTTTCTTGTCGGAACTCCGTCGAGCTCGTCAACTTCGGAGGAGGAGCATAACGGAGGATCGCGGTCCTTGGGAATCCAAATCGACGATGGAGTGGGAGGCTTAGAAGAATTAACTTCACCTTTACAATTTTCAACATCAGAAAACGACAAATCTTTGCCAAAAATAGGGAAAACAAGCCTGATCTGGCTGTTGTAGAAGATCTCATCGGTAGAGGTGGGGTCTTTACACACACAAAGGAACTCAAAATCAACATCATCATCATCATCTTCGTAGCTCTTCGTTTCTTCTTCTTCTTGGACCCTTGGTTATTCCTTGATCAGGATTTCATAAACACAGTAGTCTTCCTCAATCGTGCTGAGATTCTCGATTAGCAAGCTCACTTCATCTCCTTTCATTTCCAGATCTGTTTTCAAGTCTTCGATTGTTTCTTCCAATTCTCTAACCCTTTCTCTCAAGACCAATTCCTTTTCTTTCCAATCTCGTAGTTGCTCGATCAAGGTGCTAGGCTCATCCTTTAGTTGTTGTTTCTCAATATTTGCCTCATTGACCCTGTTCTTTGCAACTTGAAACTCGTTCAAGATTTCATAAACACGGCTCTCAAAGTGCCCATAGTCTTCATCAATTGTGTTGAGATTCTCGATCAGCAAGCTCACTTCATCTCCTTTCATTTCCAGATCTCTTTTCAAGTCTTCGATTGTTTCTTCCAATTCATCAGCTTTCCTATCGTTAGATTCAATACTCTTTTGCAACTCCTCTTCTTCCATTTTTTCAATCTTCCTTTCAGTAACTTCAAGGTTTGCCTTGCATTCTTAAAACAAAACTTCGAGTCATTTGTGCTCTTCTCTCAATTCATTGAAAGCATCCTCCTGTTCTTTTAGCATTCTTTGCTGATCCGCAACCTTGTTTGCTAGCTCGAAATTCTTATTCTCTACTTGAGTCGAGTTTTCTGAAGATTCTTGTTTACCTTTCTCAATCTGCAACACCGATGCCGAGTCCAAGCTGGAGGAAGAAAAAGAAAAAGAATAATCTTTATTCCCATCTTTTTCATCCTCATCTTCTTCTTTAATAAAGTTCAAGGTCTTGTAAACTTTGTCCTCAATCTCTACAATGAGCAGGAAATTTCTGTTTTAATACCAAACATCTACTTTAAGATCCATTGTTTACAGAAAAAAATTGCTGAACATAAAGATGAAGCTATTTCAAAAGGAAATAAATGTCTATATTTGTTCATTCAAATTGAGGATTTTTCTTTTCTACTTTTTGAGTATCCAAGAAACAAGTCGGAGTTACTTAACTCAAGCTACAAATCTTATTTAACAAAACAATAAAAGACTATACAGCTATAAATCTTGACAAATTCCATACATACTTCATCAATTTATTGCAGGTTCATATTAAAATGAAGGATTCATTTTATTTTTTTTGGGGTATGTGTGATGCTAAATTAGTAAATCGCAATCATTGTATGATTTTTGATTTACCAAAAATGAAATAACTAATTTAAAATGAAAATAAATAATTTACCAAAATGAAATGGGTCTTGCAATCATGCTTTCGCTTGTTTGGGGCCATAAATGGATCGAAGAAGTTTTTGAAACGATTGAGAAAATTTTAAGGATTTTTTGGAGATAGATTGTGGTGGTAGTTGAGAAAAAAGAATTTTTTAATCCATTGTTTGTTTGTTTCTTGGGAAAAAAGACAAAGATGCAGAGATGGTTACACAACTTTAGAGAGGGAGAAATGAAAAGTTTCTTGGCTTTTATCCTGAAAGGTAGGTTCATTTTTTTCCCCATATTCTTGGCTTTTATCTTGAAAGATAGGTTCATTTTTTTCCATATAAAGTTGGGGTATCAATGTGGAAAGTTTTGACATTTCCATCAACTTCATTTCCTTCACTAGTATCTCTCTCTCTCTCTCTCTCTCTCTCTCTCTCTCTCTCTCTCTCTCTCTCTCTCTCTCTCTGTGAGTGTGTGAAAGTGTGCGTGTATGTGGAAACTTTCCATATTCTTTGCTTTTATCCTGAAAGGTAGGTTTATTTTTTTCCATATAAAGTTGGGGTATCAATGTAGAAAGTTTTGACATTTCCATTTCAACTTCATTTCCTTCACTAGCAACTCTCTCTCTCTCTCTCTCTCTCTCTCTCTGTGTATGTGAAAGTGTGCGTGTATGTGTGTATGTGTGTCTTCAACACTTCATAAACTACAAGTTCTCCATTGCAGACTTTTGGGTGGTTTTTAATTGAGTTAATATTACACTCTGGCCCCTTGCATTTTTTGTAATTTCACTATAGTCCTTTCACTATCAATTATGACAATTAATTTCTTTACATTTTAAGTGAAATTACAATGGTTTGGAATGTTGGTTTTTTATTTTTTTTTATGAAAATATGTGTAAAAAAATAAAGAAAGTAATGTGACAACTTATAATAACACTAGTGTATACCCGTGTCTAAAGGCACAGTGCATATAATGATAAAATCAGAATGTAATTGAATATAAAATTGCTAGGTTAAAATATAATTTATCCCATTTGTTGCTAAAAATTTGAAGTCAAAATATGAATCAAGTTCAAGTTAATTTTGAAAATATTTTTTTGTTTTTTTTAAATTTGAAAATATGTTTAGTTGTATATTTTGAAAATAAACATTTCCTAATCAACTATTCAAAGTACAACAAGTAACTCAATCATAAAAATTTTGGTCTTATTAACAAACTTTATGACTGTAAAATATAAACTTCATATCAACACAAAAATTAAAAATAAAAACATCCTTGCTAAGCAAGTCAAGAAAAAAAAATTATAAACACAAAATAACACACATAAACCGAAGGAAGTGAAAAGAGATAAGTGGCATACTTGCAACAATATCATATAAGAAACACTTCTCTTTTGAACTCTAAAACGAAAGAGGATAAACAACAGGAAAATAAGAAGAGTAATTAAAGTTGGAGTAAAAGCATAAAAAAGAGTTCAGAGGCGAAATGAAATATTTAACAGTAATAAACACTAGAAAATCCTTGAACTCCTTGAACTGGTTATAAGAGAAGAAAATCACACCAGAGCAACCAATTATCATTTCCTGTTGAAAATCACACATATCTCAGTATAGAAGAAAAAATATTTTTTTTTAAAAAAAATTGAGGAAAAAATCTCAAATAATCTCTAAAAATTTGTCTAGTGATTATGTTACTAATAAACTTATGTATTATTTTTAGAAGCCAAGATTTTTCAGACGCCAAGTAGAACTCAAAGGCCAGAAAGCTGCTATTATCATCTTCAGAGACATTTCCTCATGAGACCTACAAAAGGTTGTATCAAAATATTAACCAAAATCAAGCATTGAAATCACCCCCTAATAATCAATTTAACAATCTATTTCACAATAAAGCATTGAAATCATCCCCTAATAAGCAATACTATGTATGAAAATATAACTGCTTTATTGAAGCTATTATACTATTTCAAAAGCAACAATGTAAGCAAAAGGTCAAAATTGCTGAGATGGTATACAATCGTGTATTTTTTTATTTTTATTTTTTTGTCACAAACCATTACCAATAAACTTGCCTATAAAAGCGTTTACAAATCAATCATGTCCTTCTAAAAATTAAGGTGGTATCTCCTTTCTACATGGTTTTGCTCTCAAAAAAATTGGAAGGCCCCATGACCCCTCATTATAACCCCCTGTACACCTAGCCTATATGACAAATCAGTTGAGTGCAAGGAGGAAAGGGCAAAGGAGCTTCCCCTGTACCAAATTGGCTATAGGAGAAGTCACATTTGGATTCTTATGTAGGTAGCAAGGAGGGAAGCACAAAAAGAAGGTTTTTAAAAGGGAACAACCAGCTCCAGGCTCTATCTAGATTTGGAGTAAACATTCCCAACATCATATTCCAATCTTCCACTCGAGAAAATGATGTTTAATGAAACAATCAAATCACTCATCGCTCCATCGGTATAACAGCAGCACGTCTAGTACCATGTCACAAATAAAATTCATTTAAGCATATGCTAGCACCCTAAATCAATTGGACCAACCGTGTAATGGTCTTATAGTTAATACATTCAGAACACATTCAAATGTTTTTATTTTGCACCTTTTCTGGGTAACAAAACAGAGCAGAAAGAGAAGGAAAAAGAGATTATCTTGGCAAGAATCATGTCAAGTAGTTCAGTTCCTGCTCTAGAGTTGGAAATTTCTGTTTGGTAACTAGTAAAAATAATGAAATCAACAAAGAAAGAGGAGCGAGGAATTTCAGAAACTAAAGATTCAAACCCATTTCAAAAGCCATCAAATCCATTCAAAAATCACAACCAAAATCATTAACTTTAAAGCAAAATAAGGGAAAACTAAAATGATACCCAAACTAAAATTATGCACAATTTATTTGAGCAAAGAGAGAGAGAGAGACAGAGAGAGAGAGAGAGAGAAAGAAAAATGTTGCAAGAACTTTTCCTTTGGCAGCCCATTACCACCCAAATATAACCAAACATAGGCATTAATTGGAGACCCATGGTTTAGGAACAATAACATAGGTTGCATTAACAATTGGGTTACTAATTCATGGCTCTCAATATACATTCCCTATCTGTTTTTCCCTTTTTTTCTTTAAACTCTCAGCAACCAAACAATGCACCGAAAGTAAATCATGCTCAGAATTGAACCAAAGGCATTAAAAGAACCATTTCATAAACCCAAATAAAGATAAACCAGAGAAAATAAACCTATAGAAAAAACCCATTCATAGAAACCAAAATAAGAGAGAGATGATACCATTAATTGGATTTGTGAAGGATCTGAGGAGCAGCTTGTAAACTTTATTACGGAAACACCCATTCTAGAACGATATCTATTTTATTCCATTGCATCATATACAAACCCAGACAAAAATATAAACTTTATTATGGAAAAATCACTATAACACAACAAATATAAAGAGGCAAAGAAACACAAAAAGCCACACCTGGGAGATGATGATAGGGACCACCTTGAGACTCAAACAACTTCTTATCCTTCATCATTTGGACAATTTTTTGGGTGAACCTTTGCATCTCTGTCTGCAACACCAATCTAATTATCTATTAAGGTAATGGCTTAATTTACAAAATCTTGATATATATATATATATATAGAGAGAGAGAGAGACCTTGAAAGGTTCATTATCTGTTCTGAAGATGATGCCTGGAACATACTTCAACCAAACAAGGTATAGCGATCCCGGGTTTACCCTTGTTGTACAATGATCCGGACATGTGTCCGTGGATGTTGGTAGTTGTTTATTATCGTGTTTGTATCCGAGGGTCTTCCATGCCCTCTATATGCCTTTGTCCAAAGCTCTCCAAATCCTTGTTGGACAAGGCCATCTCAAACCCCTTGAGCCTCGGCCTCTCCCGAATCCTCTTCCGGCTACACATGATGCTGCCCAGTACTATGCCTTCCATCAACAAACCGGTCAAGGCACTGACAATTGCTTTCGTCTTTGCCACGAAGTGCAAGATTTTATTGACGATGGGGTCATTGCCGCGCCAAGCTCTGCAAAGTCTATCGGCACTGGATCGGTGAACTTGGGTCCTGTAACGAATTTTTTAAACTATCACTAAAAGTTGTAAATTAGTGACCATTTTTTTTAACAATTTTTTTAAACTGTCACTAAAACTTATAATTAGTGATATTTTTTTTATAACAAAATTTTCAAACTATTGCTGAAAATTAACAATTAGTGATTTTTTTAGTAGTGTTTAATGAAAAATGTCATTAATTATC